TAGAAATAATGGCCCCAGGGAGACATTAAACCATGTAAAGAGGGAGTAAAGGACCCCAAACAGATAAACACACATATTACTCAGCATAGAGGGAGCCCTGCAGTCAACAACGGATATAAAATGGCTCTGCAGTGAGGTGACAATATTCCAGTCATTCGTCGCAGCTACTGTAGCTCAAACAGCTGACTGTAACCTACATGAGCAGACAGTAAACACAGTGTTTTACTGGCTACTGCTCATAGTCATCACCCTCTGACTGTCCCGTCACATGTCTCTGTCAGATGAAGACTTTACTGTGTTTAATGCACTGTAAATCTGTGCACTATAACGTTTATGAGTCCAACAGTTCATCCAACAGTTTCAGGACATAAACAGGTTATAAACTCACCTTTGAGAAGGCCTTTCCTCCTTTGAGCTCCTGTAGAGACACAGAAACACAGAAACACTGGTGATTCACCCTGCTGACCCTCTCATAACGTGTCACATAGTTCCAGTATGGAGCAGAAAGTGGGACAGGTGCAGGCGTCACCTTTGAATTAAGGAGGATGCTGCTCGCCTGAAAAGCTTGATGAAGCAGTTCATTTAAAAATTTAGCGTCAGCTAAATGTTCCCACAGAGCTAATTTTCTGCAATAATCTAAAAAAAATTGTTTGGCCTTGTGTTGAGGTAATCAGGCACTCTATGTCCCAGAGGAGCATGGGAGTTGTAGTTTACCTTGCGTACAGACACTCTGCAGATGCAGGGGTCCAACACTCCACTGATCGGATTGGCGCTCATCTTGCACACAAAGGAGAACTTCTTCCTCCATCGGACGGAGTTCTGCTGCACCTCCTCCCTGCAAACACACACACAGATGTACCTGCTGTAGTTAGACTGTCACACAGTTTATAGTGTAAACAGGTGTAAAGAGTAAATCCTGGAATTTATACTATAAATGTTTGCACCTTTACCTCAATTCCCCCCCCCTACAAGCCAAACTTCAGAGAATTAAGGCTTTAATTGGACTTCTTAATATACACATAGTTGTGCTTCACTTCACCTTCTTGGACTTTGTTTATGGCCTATGTATCAGCCAGCCCTGTTTTTGGGTCCTCTCTTTACCACACATCTATTAAAAAGTAGCTCAAATATTATCATCTTTATGATTTTATCTTTGGAGACCTTCATTTGAATGGTTCTGAGGATCAAATCTACAGATAAAATCAAAGTGTTAGAGACTCAGGGAGACACAGCAAATCTGTGGCAGTGGCATGTATTGCTGTACCTTCCTGGAGGAGCTGGACTACCTGTGAAACCTCTGTAGAGTCCAGGTATCGCCTCGTGCTACCAGCAGCGACACTGATGCTCACTGAATGCAAAACGAGTGAAAAAACAGCCAGAAAAGATGAGGAGGGAAAAAGCATCAGTGGCCCCTACATGTAAAACCATTCCACCCTCCAAATCGATATCCCAGAGGTTTAACTGATGTGATGGTTTACTTTGATTAAAAAGCATTCCAGCATTATTCGGTTTGTCAGACAGAATAATGTAACCCCAGCCTTCATCATGCAGGGGAAAACAAACAAGGCTGCAGCGGATTTATTGGCCCATTAGCACAAAGTGAACTGTGGGTATTGTAACAGCTGGGGAAATATGCTGGAGGCTGAGCATGTGAAAGAGCAAATGTGTTTATATTAGAAGTGTTATTATCTGCAGGATCAATAGGACGACACGGACTGTTTTCTCTGGCTGTTTTTCTAGAGAACGTCCTCGAGGCCGAGCAGCTGATGGCCCAGATGATCTCATCCCGGGACGTGGCACGTCATACTCTGCTGAGGGGGTTTCCACTTGCTCTGATTGGAAACAGATTTGGTGTTTATCTGCATATTGTTTTTATTTCTTGCCCTCACGCTTTCCAGTCGAACAGCACTATAGGTGTCATAAATAACTTAAAATATAAGCCAAAGCAAAGGGGCGAAAACAGGGTTGGACAAACTGTACAAACTCTGATGCAACACAAAGAAATCCTGTAAGAAAAGACAGTCTT